GGCCGCACCTCGATTATGCGGGTTCAGTTCTGGTGCCCCTATTATAGAATGGATATAAATTCACTAGAGTCGGTGCAGCGAAGAATGACAAAAATGATTCCGGGACTTAGAACCTTCCATATCAGGATAGGTTAAAGAAACTTAACTTGCATTCCCTAGAAAGACGAAGAGAGTGGGGAGATATGATAGAAGTATTTAAGGGTGAAAGGAATCAATAAAGGGGATATAGATAAAGTGCTTATAATATCCGAGCAGGATAGGACTCGGAGCAACGGATTCAAGTTGGATAAGTTTAGGTTTAGGAGGGAGATAGGAAGAAACTGGTTCACAAATAGGGTGGTGGACGAGTGGAACATTTAGCAACTTTGTAGTAAGTGCGGGAACTCTGGAAAGTTTTAAAAGGAGGCTAGATAGATTCATGGATGATAGAGAGTGGTAGTAACTCTCGACAGGAGCTGCCATGCACAGGCCAACCAGCCTATTGCAGATTCCTTATTTTCTTATGTTCTTATATATATATATATATATATATATATATATATATATATATATATATATATATATATATATATATATATATATATATATATATATATATATATATATATATATATATATATATATATATATATATATATATATATATATATATATATATATATATATATATATATATAATATATAGGAAAGACTGGGAAAGCATTGCAACTCAGACCCAAACAGCACAAGTACAATATCAGAACAGCATCTGAAAGCAGTGCGTTGTTCGTTCATGTTAGGAACAATAATCATCTCGTGGATTGGGAAAACAGCTTAGAAGTGTACAAATCATCATGTGTCACAGAAAGACTTCTGGTGGAAGCTAGTTTGATTAGGGAATTAAATTCCATAAACTTTAGTGATGGTCAGTGCAAAACTGACAATATGTTACAAAGTTAACAATGCTTTGAAAACCTTGGAGTTAGATGTAGGATAGATATTTAGTGGGTCCCATATATTTTTGACTTGACTTAACTTGACTAGTCGCGTCGACCTTTCTCTTAAGCTCCTCTGCGTGTGTGTTGGTGTTTGTGTGCGGATTAGTGGATGTCATGATTATGACCTGACCTCATGTTTAATAAGGTCACCCTGTGTATTTAAGCCTCTCTCCGTCCGTGTAATACAGTTGCCTCTGAAGATGTCTTGAATAAAGACGAAAGCTAAGGTGCTCCGTTGTTTCCCTTTTCCCGTGTGATTTTATCAAGATTTATCTTATCCACGTTTTCATTGTGGATCTACATGATATATATATATATATATATATATATATATATATATATATATATATATATATATATATATATATATATATATATATATATATATTATATATATATATATATATATATATATATATATATATATATAAATCCTCGCCCAATAGAGGAAATAATATCCTCGATTTAGTTCTCAGTAATAATGAAAATCTAGTAAAAGATGTTGGGATTGGAGACGAACTACGAAACTAGAAACAGAAAAAGATCATAAAGCCATATATTTTAACATAATATGGATGGTAGGAAGAAGGAAAATTCGGCCTTGATCCCGGATTTTAGGAAGGCTAATTACGGTAGCTTAAGGAGAGACCTAAGGGATGACCCTATGGTCAAAAGATTAATCCCCCCACACCTCCGGAAACTGTCAACTTAGGACGGGATAACCCCGAATTTAATTTAGCAGCTACTTATGAACAATTTATTGCGACAATCAATAATGCTCAAAATAAACACATCCCTAAAAGAAAATTCAGATCGATACGGAACCAACCAAAATGGATGAATAATAGACTCTTAGATTCTAGGAAAAGAAAGGTGTATATAGAAAAAGTTAAGAAAGGCGAAAATCACTTACTTGGTTACTATCAGATCCCAACAAGACAGGTAAAAAACATAAATTAGGAAAGCAAAGAGAAATTATAAAATCTAAGGTAGCAAACGAATCGAAAAATAACCCCAAAGCTTTTTTATCAACTGTATAAATCAAAGGTTAGAGGATACATAGTCCTTAAACTACGGCAGGAGAAATGACTGATGATGAGTTAGAAATGTGTAGTAATGCCAACAGTCATTCAGATTCACAAATGAAAACCTAAAGCACAGTTTCCAGAAGTTCATAAGGTATATAACGACAGTATAGAAAATATGTTGATGAATAATATTACTAGTAACGATGTGCTTAAAGTATCAATAAACTGAAGCCTCATAAATCGCCTGGTCCAGACGAGGTATATGCTAGAATATTAAAAGAATGTAGAGATGAGTTGAGTAATCCATTATCAGTTTTATTTAATAAGTCATTAGAATCGGGCCTAGTGCCAGAAGCTTGGAACTTGCAAATGTAGTTCCGATTTTCAAAAAGGGTGATAAATCAATAGCATCAAATTACCGTCCCATTAGTCTCACGTCAATCATAGGCAAGTTGCTAGAGTCAATTATTGCTACAAAAATCAGAAGCTACCTTGAAACATTCAACTTAATTCATTCTTCTCAGCACGGGTTCACCCAGGGACGTTCTTGTCTCACAAATTTGCTTAGCTTTTTCTCAGAAGTATTTTGAAGCGGTAGATAATGATAAGTCATATGATATAATTTATTTAGATTTCAGTGATAAGGAAGGTAGAAGCACATGGAATAGGTGGATCAGTATTAAAATGGATTAGGTCATGGTTAACTGGTAGGAAACAAAGAGTCAGCATAAATGGATTAAAGTCAGACTGGGGTGCGGTCAAAAGCGGAGTTCCCCAGGGATCTGTATTAGGCCCTCTGCTGTTTGTTATATTCATTAATGATCTTGATTTAGGCATAACTAGTAGGATTAGTAAATTTGCAGATGATACCAAAATGGGGAGAGTGATAAATTCAGACAGTGACTTTGAACACCTTCAAAGAGATCTAGATACCTTACGAGTGGTCAGTAGACTGGCAAATGAATTTTAATACTGATAAATGCAAGGTACTACAGATAGGAAGACGAATACAAACGTTAAGTATAAACTAGGTAACACGGAAATAGAAAACTCAGTTTGTGAAAAAGATCTAGGTGTATTTGTTAGCAACGACTTGAAACCTAGAAAACAATGTATTAGCGTTCGCAACAAGGCAAACAGGATTCTTGGGTTCATATCTAGGTCTGTGAGTAACAGAACTGACGTTATCTTGAAACTTTACCTAGCATTAGTGAGGCCACACATGGATTATGCGGTTCAGTTCTGGTGTCCTTATTATAGAATGGACATAGATTCTTTGGAGAGAGTACAAAGAAGAATGACAAAAATGATCCATAATATTAGAAACCTTCCATATGAAGAAAGACTGAAAAGCTTAGGCTTACATTCATTAGAGAGGCGTAGAGTTAGGGAGATATGATAGAGGTGTACAAGTGGGTAAGTGGGATTAACAAGGGTAAAATGGAAGATGTTCTGAAGCAGTAATAACGAAATAACTAGAACAAATGGCTTTAAATTAGATAAATTCGATTCAGAAAGGATATAGGCAAGCACTGGTTTGGTAATAGAGTTGTGGATATGTGGAATAGGCTACGAGTGCTATAGTAGGATCGGGGACGCTAGGGAGCTTCAAGACGAAGTTGGATAGGCACATGGAAGTGCTGGGATGGGTGTGAAAGGATCTGCCCTGTATGGGCCAGTCGGCCTCCTGCAGTATCCCACTTTCTTATGTTCTATATATATATATATATATATATATATATATATATATATATATATATATATATATATATATATATATATGTAGGCTGGTTGTTGAGCATATGGCTAAGGGTTGCTGCTGGCTACATATATATATATATATATATATATATATATATATATATATATATATATATATATATATATATATATATATATATATATATATATATATATTAGGATTCTTAGAATAAATGCGGACATATGTTCATACCTCGTGCGTTTATCATTAATAATAATAATAATTACTAATAAAATACAGATTAACTCACGAGGTACTACAGATAGACCCCAGAAGGTCTTGACTGTCTACAACATAGCACACCTGCAGCACCAGCACCATGTAGCAGTATCGTGACGATTAGTCAACCCAACTCGTCTATATAACATTTCACTTGTGTTAACGACGGACATCCCATCATTATAAGAGCATAAAGTGAAGAATTTTGTCTTACTTATACATTTTGATGAAACTCTCTGATGTGTAATAAATTTCCTTAGTGGGTGAAGATGTTTGATTGATGAATAAGATGGATATCCTCGTACATTTTCCTAATGTAGTATATTAGTTTTTCATGTCTCTTTGTTCATTTTTTTTCTTGATTGTCTAATACGTAAGTTACACAACAGAAACTGCCTATGATTTGCTCCTGAGATACGAGGACACCCTGCCATGTTGGTATCACTCAAACTTTAGATGAATTTAAATTTTATGGATTAAAAGATATATTTCCTTAAAAAACAAAACGTTATATTTTCATATATGTTTACATCTACTACACATAAATCCTCACTTTAAAGAAGCTGACTTTTGCCCTACACTTATTTACCTCAATATAATAAGATGACTTATTCAATCTACCTGTGAACTTTTTACAGACATGTAATTCATGCATAACCTCCTCAGTTCTTTAATATCACGACCTTTATAAAATACCTTTACAGTAAGGAATCTTTCACTAGTTACCAATGTTGTAGTAGCCATTGTAAGATATGAACTGGATATCCAAGCACTGTGAGAAATCTGTTTCCAATGGCTTATCTGACCATGTTGTAAATGTCTGTGTTTATTGACTTCTCTTAACTCGTTTTTAAACCCTTTCCTAATCATAGAATCTTCATTATTTATTTACTTCCGACATTTGTGTTGACCGGAGATTCTATGACTCAGAATAATACCTGGTGTTGATCTGCTGGGTCTGGTCTAACTCACTTTTATACCTTGTCTTATCCTGTATGTTAACCTCGTACTAACCTGTCTAGTAGGGGCCCTTCTGCCCTCTTCACGTTGGCCGTGTCGGAGAAGATGAAGACCCTGTCATTGCCCTTGTACCACTTAATGCTGTGGAAGTCGCCGCACGAAGCCTTGTCCACCTCGCAGGGCAGGTGAACGTTCTCCCCCGCCAACCCCAACACATCATACCGCCTCACCAAAGCTGTAATGATAAAAAGAATCTTGTTAGTGTTTCGTTCATGGTAAGTTGTGTGTATAGTGAAGGCGAGAAGACAAATATGTGATAATTTTATGTAATAGCAAATGAACAATTTTACTCAATTGAAAATGAGAAGAAAATTTCTGCATTATGTATTGCTTAATATAATATTGTACGAGAGACTATTTTTATCTTTTGCATAATTTTAGTTCAGATATAATGTAAGACAAGTTAAGTAAAGAATTCCATTACAAAATATAATTTAATATTAGATCGAAGCTTCATAATCTTACAATGATTACGACATACTGTACTGTATATGTAAGATACCTGAATAATATACAGTATATTATTAAGTGAGACGAAACACTGGTAAATAAAATATAACAATCAATGATATTTTCCATGAACTCATTGAAAAATGCTCAATGTACGGTATATATACATATTTCAAAAGTACCGCTTCAGCATTATGTGTAAACGACTACTTAACATAGAGGACAGAGGTTGTGGTGTTGAGCGACAGTGGCAGCGGACCCTGGAGTTCACCTAATAATACTGGCAGAGGAAAAACCCACAAAATAGTTTAACATAAGACAAAATCTCGCCCCAGTAGATAAAACCCCACCAGCTTTAAGTTTCTTTAAAGTCTGTTGAGACTGGAATTTTGTCCTACTACTCACTCGCCTTACCCTATCCAGGTTGGTTCGGGGAGCCGCCACGATCCACCCAACTCGCTCACACCTAATTGGGTTGTTAGCCATGTTGTCCCAGCAACCTACTTTTTAAGACTTTCCCTTAATGATGCAACTCATACACGTGAGGAATTAATAAGGCGTCTGATTCCGTAAAGCTGTGACGGAGGACGGAAAAATACCTCCTGATTCTTAGGATGAATTGGGATATGCTGTAATTGGGTTGTACGTCAAAATATAATATTCTCATTAATTTCAGTAATATTCCGTGAAGAGGAGAGCGGAGGTCCTGGGGTGAATATTAATGACCAGCCGGATCACGCGCGCAAAAAATTCATTATTAAAGTATTCATTATGGTTGGATTTAATTCCGTCTGTCTTTGCATTTGTTCGACCATTTTTTGTGTTCAGATGGTTTGTCTTGTGTATTTTGTTTGCCCATTTTATGCTTCAGGTGGTCGGTGTCACCATGGGGGGCGGGGGGAACTGACTTCTTTTGGTTGTTGGTGTGTATTGAGCTTTTAGTACAAGATGATGTCACACACCTCACCACCTTTCATATTGGTTTCGGAAATGACTTCAGGATGCCATCACAAATTGTGTTTAAGTCTGGCTGTGTAGGAACCTCGCCACAAGACGGTTCTCTGTATTTGGATTGCCTTGTACACACATCCATCCACAGTTACACACAGACAACTTCTTTGTCATCTCTGTAGAAAAAAAAAGGTTATTTCAGGCTCACAGAATGCCCCCCCCCCCCTCCGCGGATCGTTCCACTGCAGACCGTCTCCTCCTCACTCACAATTTTGACTCTGGTCTGGATAACGTGGGTGAAACTTTCCTAGTTGACCTAAATATTTCAAAAGCCTTCGACAAAGTTCAGGATCAAGCTCTTGGCCAAACTTCCTACTCCTCTTATCCCCGTTAGCTCCTCTCTTCTATCCAACAACGTTATGTGTGCACCTTTTACCCCCGGACTAGCGTTGTGTGCACCTCCTAAACCCAGACCAGCGTTATATGTGCACCCCTTACACCCGGACCAGCGTTATATGTGCACCCCTTACACCCGGACCAGCGTTATGTGTGTACCTCTTACCCCCGGACCAGCGTTGTGTGCACCTCCTAAACCCACACCAACGTTACGTGTGCACCCGGACCAGCAGTATGTGTGCACCCCTTATACCCGGACCAGCAGTATGTGTGCACCTCCTAAACTCACACCAACGTTACGTGTGCACCCCTTACACCCGGACCAGCAGTATGTGTGCACTCCTTACACCCGGACCAGCAATATGTGTGCACCCCTTACACCCGGACCAGCAGTATGTGTGCACCCCTTACACCCGGACCAGCAGTATGTGTGCACCACTTACACCCGAACCAATGTTTAATTAAAAGCTGGAGTTCTTTATGGCTGTTCTCGTGACGACGCTCTTTACTATATCAATAATATTTTCTCAATACCCCCAAGAAACTCACATGAAAGGCACCAAAACCTAAATATTATTCGCAGTCAAGGCAAAAATTTGTTTCATTACTCACTAGGAAGCATTAATTTGATAAGACGTAAAAACTTCCGCAATAACAAACAACCATCTCTTGAAGGCATAAAATAATAATTCATCTATAGTTCTCAAAACATTATTATAGCTTCGTAATTACACCAATAATATTGGAGTTATCACATTTTTAAAGTCCTCAAATAATTCTTAGAAAACAAATGGTAACGTTTTGTGCTTCTTACTTAACTCCCTGCCTCTCTACCCTTTACATAGGCCATGTTCAGCCCTCACTCACAATATGTTCCTACAAACTGAGATAAATCTCTGTCCGCCGTAATTCTCCTTGATACCATCCAACCTAAAGCCTGACCAGTAATCCCGCCTCTATTTTTCCACCTTCGCATACCTTCAGTAACATATATATACTTACAGCATATACACAAGCACACTTACACCTTTCATAGCCCAAGGAGTTGCCATGGTTCATACAAGATTAGTTCATCTATTGTATCGTAAACAATCAACATCGCGTTGAAAAAATCCACTAAATAAAGTGAAGTGTTTTATCATTATTGTTATTGGAGTAATCATTTGTTGTTATTTTTTAAGCTAAGTGTTAATATCTACAATATTTAGCGTTGAAAAGTGTTTATATAACAGCGTGTGTAAGGTAGAAGACGCGACTCTGTAGGAATCCGAGAGGAAAACTGGTATAATGCCTTCCTTAACTTTTATACCATCTATAAATACAATAAAAATCACCAGTTGGGAAAAAACGACACAATCTTGCATTGAATTGGAGGCCAATTAATAACAAGACATACTATCATTTCACACACGACTGACTTGATTCCCAGTTTCTTCAATGAATATAATTCTAAAGTGAGGTATGTTGACAATCCTTGGAAGGAACCTTTAAAAGCGCCTATGATTACGATCTACGGACTGCTCAAGGTTAGAAGGCACCGTGATCCTCCCAAGATAAATACATAACCAGCCTTTCCAAGCCCCCTCGGTAACAACATAACTCACAAAAATAACACATCCATAAATAAACAGAACTAGAGTTCAACTCGCTAAACTAACAAACGAAATTGTTCCACGGAAGGAGTTAACACGACTAATTACTACTTTGCTATCTCTCGGAATCGAGCTATGATACAATGATATGAGTTATTAAAGATGCCACCTTCTTTGGTAAGCTCTGAGGTGACTCGAGAGGCCGGAATCGGAAGGATCGTCCAACAAATGTTGCAAGTGTGGAGGGCTCCATCTAGTGCTGGAGGGGCAGTGGCAGCGTCTTTCCAATTATAATTGGAAAGACGCTGCCACTGCCACAGAGGCAGACAAGCGCAATAATTATTGCGCTTGTCTGCCTCTGTATGCAGTAGGGCTAACTCGAAAGTATTGACACCTTCTCGTGTGGTGCTCCTCCAAGCGTTAAGGTGTTGAGTGATCATCTCCCAAGTGCAGGGGTCGATTTGGCACTTTTTCAGATTTGTCTTAAGATTGTCTTTATACATTTTCCATTGCCCGCCAGCGTTACGTTTATCATTCGTTAGGTGACTGTAAAGTAGCTGCTCTGGAAGTCTACTGTCGTCCATGCGGGTTTCATGGCCATTCCAACATAACTGTTCATGGATAATGCTCCTACAGTTGGTGTCAGCGAAAATACTGACATTTGCTCTCTTGTCTACCCAGCGAACTCGGAGGATGTTACGTAGACTACATTGGTGAAAATTGTCGAGTGTCTTGAGGTTCCTCCTGTATGTGACTCATGTCTCGCTGCCATACAACAGGGTTGTGAGGACCACTAATCGATATACATGCTGCTGAAGACACAGGAACGAAGTCTGCCAGACGTTGAATCTCTTCATCGATGTCCACAATGGTGGACAGGTGAGAGCCAAGATACTGAAAGTGGGTAACATTAGAGAGGGTAGTAACATTAACCTGGATGGATGTTGGATTAGTGGCTGAACCAGGGCCAGGCTGAAACAGAATCTGAATCTTGCTGAAATTTGTATATGCATCTGCATAGATGTTCAGGATCTCCTGTAGGTCATTTTCAGCTTGAGCAATGAGGGTGAGGTCGTCTGCATACTGAAGTTCAATGATGGAAGAGGGCAACATCTTTGTTCCAGCCTGGAGTCATTATATGTAGAAAAGTTCCTTCATCTGGTACTGGATGTCCACACCATCTGGGAGAGAGTTACTACACGACGTGTTTGCTGTTCAACACCTACATTAATCTGTATGTTCCTTTACCTTTCTCTAATGAAGGATTTTGTTAAACCACCAATGTATGTACTAAGTCATTTATATCCAATGTATATTTTCAGCCTTCGGGCTGCAGAACTTTTTCAATAAACCGTTAATAATTATTATTATTATTATTATTATTATTATTATTATTATCCAGAAGCTGTATAGTTTGTTTTTGCTTTGATCTGTTATGTTTTCGACCACATTAGGATGCCCTTACTGGGTGCGGTTGCCCAGTCAGGTTGGGTTTTTTTTAGGCAGGCTATGTTTAGTGGCAGCATTTTCAGCCCCCTCTCCTTGTGGGTTGAATAAAATGGCTCCTGGAAAGGGCTGCTCAGTCGCAAAGACAGGGCCGGATTGCACTGTTCCCTAGATCAGTGTGCATAAACGACCATGTTATCTATGCCGCCCGTGCCATTTTTGTACCCATCACCACTCGTGTGTCGCCATAGGTCTTTGGGGGTTTAGGGGTTATATAGGGTGGTATGAGTGCATTTATCCCATCTTCTACCAAAACTTTCACTTTACAATCATGGTTTGATCGCTCCTGCTCTCTTGCATGCAGGGAAAGAGATAGGGTATATCAAGCTATGAAACTATCTCCTTCTCCTATTACCCACTCTTCCTTCATTACTTCTAGGAATCGTTGTGGGACCAAACGGAATTTTATAAAAAAGAAAGACCGCTATCCTGACTAATTCTTCCTCTAGTAAATCTTTCTGGTCCTTAACCAAAAACATCTGTAATAACTTCTGCACGCCTTCTTTTCCTCCTCTCTTCCGACCTGATAACTCTATAGCCAACTCTCCCCATGACAAAGCCAATCACTTTGGCACCTTAATCTCCTCTAATTCCACCTTACACGATTCCAACTCTATCCCTCCTACCCCTGCTCCTCCTACTGAACCTATGCACTTTTCTATATTCTTCACTCGCAGGGTTGCCGTGTGTTATCCAGGATGGATGTGAGTAAGGCGCATGAACCGGATGGAATACCCCCCTCGTGTTCTGATGGAGTGTGCTGAAGCTTTGGTCCCTGTGCTTGCTCGCCTCTGCCTCAAAACCCAAACTTTTCCTTCTTCTTGAAAGCATGCCTTAGTTCAGCCCATCCCGAAGAAGGGTGACCAGTTTAATCCCTCTAACTATCGCCCCATTGCCCTAACTTCATCCCTCTCTAAGATTTTCGAAACTGTCTTGAACTCCCCTTTTCTCCGTCACCTCGAACGCCATTCTCTTTTCTCGGATCACCAGTACGGCTTTCGCCAGGCGAGATTTACTTGTAATCTGCTCTCCAACTGCACC